CCTCCTGACTTCAGGGCTGGTGCTCTATCCACTGTACCACCTAGCTGCCCCCACCCTTTTTAAAAGAGGCAGTAGAGGGCAGCTAGGTGGTGCAGTGGATAGAGCACCAGCCCTGAAGTCAAGAGGACCTGAGTTTAAATCCGGCCTCAGACACATAATACTCACTAGCTGTGTGACTCTGGGCAATTGCCTCACAAAAAAAAAAAAAAGAGGTAGTATGCCAAATAAGTTTGGGAACCTCTGCTTGAACAGAAAGAAGCAAACTTAATTTGGATCTCAGTGTTCATGGCTAGTTAGAGAAGGGAATTAAAATACTAGCATTTAAAAAATGATGAATGAAAAGTTTGGATAGACACTGAAAATTTAACAACTATTTTAAACCTGAAATCATAGACTAAAATTTAGAAACTAAACAGATGGATCATGGAGGGAGAACAGCAAAAGGTTTGGGTTTAATCTTCATTTCTCTAGCTGTTCTCCTGGCCACATGTCTCGAAGGAAAGCTTGACAGTGATTGATTATTGCTCTTTTAGAATGCTTTGAGGACTGCAAGTTTTACCCCCCACATTGTGGACAGAGAAATCAACTTTTCCTCCTCTAATACAAACACTAGATGATTACAACTGATGGGGTTGATAACTGCTGGCCTCTTCTGGCAATGACCCAAGGCCTGTCTTTCTACCAATATACTGACGTTTCCCTAGTGATACCTTTGGCTTCCTGGATACCTTTGTTCTGGGTGGGAATTTTTATAACCAATAAAATGGTTGGGCAACAGGAGCTCTCTGCTGTTTGGCAACACGTGACTGGTGGAGGTGGGGTAGTTACACTAACCTTTCCTTTCTTAAGTCTGCTCCTAAGGTGAGTATTTCCTCAGTACACTGTCTCTCTGAGAGGAAGAGTAGTATCTACATAGTAGATAGAGAAGCAACCAAGGAGACAAGAATACCTGGGTTCAAGTCCCACCCCGGTACATAGAAACTGTGTGACCCTGAGCAAGTCAGAGGCAACTTGGTGGTACAGTGGACAGAGTCCTAGACTTGGAGTCATGAAGATTTGAGTTTGAATCCTGTCTTAGATACTTCCTAGTTGTATGATCCTGGACATCACTTATACCTCTCTCAATTTCAGCTTCCTAATCTGTAAAATGGGGATGATAATAATAGCACCTACCTCACCAAGATGTTTGAGAATCAAGTGAATAGCATGTATAAAGTACATTGCAAATATTAAGGAACTATATAAATGCTACTTATTATTATTATTAGTTCTTAATGTCTCAATGCTCTAGGCAACTAAGACTATAAGTTGTAAAGCAACAACTTTCATTCTGCTGACAGAGATGAAAGTCACTGTGATGCGGTAGATAAAGAAGTAACCTCATAACTAGGAAAACCCAGGTTCAAATCCTACCTCTGACACATTTTGGCAATGTGACCTTGGGCAAGTCACTCAAATTCTCATGTTCCTAGGCAATTATCTAAGACTAAAGGTTGCAGAGCAAGTTCTGACCTGCATTGGTAGGAGTTTTCACGAAGGAATTTCTTTGTACTAATGAAATGAGAACAAAAAAAAATGGCTCATTAACCATGCCTTCTTTGGCTAATATGTGCTAGAACTGTAGAATCTCAGAGTTGGACCTTAGAAGCCTTCGAGCAAAGCCATATCTTACCAAGAATCCCTCTCATGTTGCTGATTGCTTTGAGCACTTAACTCCCCTCCTCCATAAGAGTCACCATTTACATAGAACTTTAAAGTTTGCAAAATCAACCACGCCACCTGGTTACCTTGGTCTTGAATCTCTCTGTGTTCTTGTCTGGCCTATCCTCTTTCCCTCAAGTCTTGAAGGAGGTGGTGGCCGTCTTCCTTGCTAAAGCTAATCCACCTATACCCTCACTCTCATCTTTTCCCATCCCTCTATGACCTTGTCCTATTACTCATCTCTTTTTTCTCTTTCAGCCTCTTTCTAGCAAATAGCACTCTACAAAAATTGCATGGGCTCCCTTGACAGAGTGAATTCCTTCTCTCTAGTGATTTTTGAGTGAAGACTAGGAGATCATTTATCAAGAATGTCCATTCTGGAGGATAAATAGTTCCTACCAAAAAAACAGACCACCCACAGCCCCTCAAAAGCCCAGAAAACTCTAACTTGAATTTTTATTATATTTATTATATTGTATTTTATATGTTTAACTATATGGTTCCATGAATGCCTCAAGTATTAGGAACTTCAGGAGCAGCTAGGTGGCACAGTGGATAGAGTGCTAGGCCTGGAGTCAGGAAGACTTCACCTTGAGTTCAAATTCGGCCTCAGACACTTACTAGCTGTGTTGCCCTGGGCAAGTCAGTTAAATCTGTTTTGCCTCAGTTTTTTCATCTGTAAACTGAGCTAGAGAAGGAAGTGGTAAACTACTCCAGTATTTGCCAAGAAAACCCCAAATAGAGTCATGAAGACTTGGGCATGATTGAAACAACTAAACAACACTTAGGAATTTCAGGTGGTCTGCTGGAGAAATATGTTAGAGGCAAATAGGCTTTTTACTTCTTTTAGCATCATTTAGAGCACGCTACAAATTAGATAGCCATCTATTCCATCTGCAAGGCCAGGCCTATAAACATATAATGAGAGCTCAAAAAATACTAAGTAAAATCTTGTATCATTTCATTCAGTTCAACAAGCTTTTATTAAACAACTGCTGCATTCAAGACCTTGCGCTTAGGGCCGAGGATAGAAAGACAAAACAAAAAATCAGCCCTCAGTCCTCCAGGTGCTTATACAGGGCTGGGGATATAAATTTTTCTTAAGGAATAAGTGCACTATAATTTGAGGCAGAAGTAAGTTCTAACAAGTAGGGGGACCAGGAAGCTTCCCATAGAAAGTGGGACCCAAGATGAGCTCTGAAGGAAGCTAAGGATTTTATTTTTAATTTGTGGAATAAAACAAGCATTTCCATAACATAGTATAATTAAAAAAAAACTGATTTTACATGAAACTGCAAATCTGCTATGCACGACTTGCTATTCCTTTGAAATATACAACAAAATTATCATGTAAATTTTTTTCTTCCCTCCTCCCCCAATACCCTATTATTAGACACAACTATATATGTGAGTGTGTGTGTGTGTGTGTATGTATATAAAATTATTCTACACATACTTCTATTTATCAGTTCTTTCTCTGGATGCAGGCAAGTATCTTCCTTCATATGTCCTTTATAGTTAATTTGGGTATTTATAATGGTCAAAATGACTTGGTCGCTCAAAATTGTTTTTTAAACAATGTTGCTGTATACAATGTTCTCTTGGTTCTGCTCATTTCACACCTCATTATTTTGTGCAAGTCTTTCCATGTTTTTCTAAGATCATCAAGCTCATCATTTCTTTTTTCTTTTTTTTTTTAACTTTTAGGCAATTGGGGTTAAGTGACTTGCCCAGGGTCACACAGCTAGTAAGTGTCAAGTGTTTGGTCTGAGGCCATATTTGAACTCAGGTCCTCCTGACTTCAGGGCCAGTTCTCTATCTACTGCGCCACCTAGCTACCCCTCATCATTTCTTATAGCACAGCAGTACTCCATCACAACCATACACCACAGCTTGTTCAGCCATTCCTCAATTGATGGGCATCATTGCAATTTTCAGTTCTTTATCAACACAAAGAGAACTGCTGTAAACATTTTAGAACATATGGGTTTTTTTCTTTTTTTCCCTAATCATTTTTGCAAATAGACTAAATAGCGGTATTGCTGGGCTAAAGAGTATAGGTAGTTTAGTAACTCTTTGGATTATTGGAAAATTATTCAGTAATTCTTCAGAAGCTAAGGATTTTAAGATTTGGGATTAAGAAGAAGGGCATTCCAGACCTGGACAGCCTATGGAAAGACAAAGGGATGGCTGATTGAAGGATGATTTCAGGGAATAGCAAGTGAGCCAATTGGACTGGATTGTAGAATAATCTGAAATAAGTCAGGAAAGGCAGGCTGCAGCCAGATGGGAAGCGTTCAGACCGCCAACCTAGGATTGCTTAAAAAAAAAAAAAAACAACTATGCTCTCTGTCTCCTGGTGCTATCAATAATCAAAGCTCATAGCCTCTTTGGCATTGTACAGAATATAAAATAGAGGTTACTGCCTTCAAGGGCTTTATGGCACTGAGCTATCTTTGTAGCAACATTGATGGACAGGACTTGCAAGGAATACAGAAAATAAGACTTGGTCTCAGTGTTTCTCACACAGCAATCCTTAGAGTTATTTTTAACTCTGTTATTTTTAGGTGTAGTTTTAGTTTAGTTTAACTCTACTTATTTTTAACACTGGAGCAGAGAAAAAAAATCTGAGACTGTCTGTGAGCATCAAATCACAGACAGAAAAAAGGAAATCAGGAAATAACCTAAAAGGAAGCATAAAAAGTTCTAGTGGCCAAAAAAGCTATAGTGTTAAGAAAAATTTTAAGTGTAAATTTAAAAAAATTGTGAGCTACAAAGTTATAGATATTTCTAGAGGCACATAACCTGAAAAGAGTTACCAAATTCAGTAAAGCTATTTGCTGATTTAAATTTTTAACTCTTGGCCATTAAAAAATAGGGGAGAAGAGGGGAAAAGAGAGACAGACAGGCAGAGGCAGAGACAGACAGAGATAAAGAGATAGAGAAAGAGACACAGAAGGGTGAGTGGGAGAGGGAGACAGAGAGAGACAAAAGATAGGGAGAGAGAGAGAGCGAGTGAGAGAGAGAGAAGAAGGGAAAGAGTCTAGGCAGCAGCAAATTAGAAAGATGATGGAATGCTTAGTGTTACTGAGGAACTTTGGCAAATGGATACCAACCAATTTGGAAACAAAGATTTTATGTAATTACAGTGAGACTGGAGATGGACTTTGCAATTCTAGGTCTCTTGGGAAACTTGGGGAACATGGAAGGAATGTAAAATCAAGGCTAAAGTTGGGGAGGGGGTTATTAAAATATTATTTCCTCCTGCTCTGGAGAACTCAAGAAGAGAATAAACGTACCGATTACTTGCATGGCTGGTTCCACGTCTGTTGTGGCTTCTTCCAGCAATGACAGGAGCTTGGCTGATATGTGATGCACCGATTGGATGTTGCTAAACAAGCCATCCGCGTCAAACCTATCAATCTGACGAAACACAAACACTGAGTTTGGGCAGACAGAAGGTGCAATGTATGTTCGCTTTCTCTTAATAAGCTGTAAGCTGCTTACACACCAGCTCATGACACTTTAGCAACAGTTGTGTAAACACCCCTATTTGTGATTTCCAGAGCACAGACACATTTTTCCACCAATCCCAAAACAAAGCTGGGTTGATGCCCTGGTTACCTGCCTTTATTTCGAGGGAGTTGTGTACATTGGATAAGTCAAGCCTCCCATCCCATAATCCCCACTGGCATCATCTTGAGAATAAAAGTAAAATGTCTGAAGAACACATACTGTTTACTTCTACCCATCTGTCCTTTTTAGGGGAAATACATACCAGAACAAGTGAACTCAGAAGTCTTTATTGCTCAGTCAGCATAAATTGTAACTTGTTCTGGATAGATGCCTTTTTCACAAAGCCATTCCAAAAGCAAACATCCTGAAAGTGCTGACAAGTCAATGTTTAAGGGTTGTCATAGTTTAAAAAAAAATGAAATCCTATTGTTATCTATCCAAAGCCTCCAGTGAAAATCAAGATTAAGAATCAAGCATTGTTTTTACCTGTAAATTGAAATGTGACTATATCTCATTGAATTTTCTAAAATAAGTCTAAAATAAAGTTTTAAAAAATTCTGAAAAGTCAGTCTTTGTGAGATGAATTGGCTTGCCCCAGGTGGCCCAGTAGCCTAGCTGGCATGGGAGCCAAGGCCCTCTGACTCGTCACTTGACTACTATCTTTCTATTATACCATACTGGCTCTTAAGAAAGATTTCCATTAAGATGGTTCCATTTTTCAAAGGGTTTTACCCTTGAAGAGTTAAGTTTCAGTTATCTGGAAAATTCATTGTGTGAAACATAGAATCCCCTTGTGGTGATGAGGCCCAGGAAGCATTGCTATAGTTGTGGTATTATTTAACAATCACCTTTGGACTTTCCCCTACATGGGACAGGCAATATACTAAGGCTCTCCTAATGACCTGAAGAGGAAATGTGACTCCTTTAAACACTAACTTAATGACATTCAGACTGGCTGCCTTGGGTAGTTGTGGGTTTTTTTTTCTCCCAGACTACAACCTGTAGCTTTTCAATACTTTTAACTTCTATAGTAGAAGCTAATAATGAGGAATTTTGGCCTTTGGAGCAAGCTCGTCTGGCAGAGATGAAAGCAGGCATGGACCACAATCCAGGGGACCCCTTCCAAGTTCCCCTCTCATGCCCAGATTGCCCCAAAGCTCTGTTGTCCCACTCTCAGGCTAAATGTGTTTCAGAGAAGTATATTCCCTGCCCCAGACCGGTATTACCCCTGGCATTTCAAGGTAGCCCTCATTCCCAGACAGAAAACACTGATGGGCCCATAAAAAGACTTCTCTTCCTAGGTAAAATATGGGCCAAGAAAGTGCTTATACTAGGTTGCTTAAAAGGGCAGCATCTTTCCAAAAGTCCCTATCTCACTGACTGTATTCTAGGATCAATCCATTAGAGTTGTGGAATACTCTCCTTTCATCCCCTATATGCAGAGCCAAAAGCAGGAAGGAAACATATGCTCCACCAGGATGTCAGCACCCATGGGTAAGATCCTAGTCACCTCACCCTAGTTATAGCTCTGATTAAACTATTTGGTTTGCTACACTACACAGTTCATACAGAAGTGACGTGACGCTTTTTAAGTATGCTGATTGCAAACAGAGGTCCAGAGCTACATAACTGTGAAATCCCTGAAAGAGAAATGGGTTGTCCACAATAGGGGTATACACTGCAATATCATTTGTTTTGTGCAATGGACGCATTCCAAAAGATGTGTATGAATCAACTTTTTGTTATTTGAATTTATTTTAGATATAATAGAGACAATCTTCAATAAATTGCTTTGTCAAGCAAAAAGATTCTTTCAAAATATGTGTGCATGTGTGGAGGAGAAGCAAAATTGTTAATGTTTCTGTTTTTTTACTTCAGATTTTCATAAACATGAGAGGCCACTAATATTGATATGAAGTATTTATCCAGTGACTCTATTCTGAAAAGCTTGGAGTGGTTTAGATGCATTATTGTATGTATCGTAACAATGTTCTTGTTAATGGATCAGCTGTATTTACCATGTCATAGGTAGTAAAGCAAGATGACATCTGATTATTCAAGGTCATGCAATAAGTTAATGATAAAGCAGAGACAGACAAAGTCCTATTATCTTGGTCCTGTTCTTTACTCCCTAATGTTGAGTAAATGAATGAATGAGAGAATAAGTTTAACTTTTATTAAGAGCTTACTACGTACTAGGTACTGTGCTAAGTTCAAGGACATAGCTTCTGCCTTCAAGGAGCCCACATTCTAATGCAGTCAGGAAATAGTGTTTTGGTCTGGGAAGTCATAGATATGACTAGTGGAAAAATAGGGCACTGCATTGACTTGCCCTTTCCATAGGCAATGTTAGTTTTTCTTTTTTTCACCTTTTTTTTTTTGTAATTGGGTTTTTGTAACTTGGTTTGTAATTGGGCAAAGTGATTTGCCCAAGGTCACACAGCTATTAAGTATCTGAGGCTTCGTTGAACTCAGATCCTCCTGACTCCAAGGGCTGGTGCTTTATCCACTGCGCCACCTAGCTGCCCCAGAAATGTTAGTTTTGATCTGATTACAGTAGTGGGGTTGCAGGGTGGGGTGAGAGGAGAAGGTTCAGTACGTACTTTATTGCATGACAGAATACTAAATACAGTGCTCAGTGGCTTAGTTCATTCATTTCAATAAACATTTCTCAAGAACCTACTATGTTCTAGGAACTGGGGACAAAAATAAAAAAGCAAAACTCCTTTACCACAGTGGGGAAAATTTCTTACCTGAAATTTAAGGTTCCTCTTTGTATGGCTTTGAGTTTTACATCAAACACTTGTTTTCCCCTCTCTATTCCTTAAGTTAAGTTACCTGCCTGCCCAATTAAAAATCCAAATCAATTTAACAAAGGGGCTATCTCATTCTGCATTCTATCTATAATCTTCCTTCACTGCAGATGCTTAAAAACATTAAACAATAATAATATAAAGCTTTAATTCAGTTTTCAAGGGCAGAAAGGTTTAAAGATAAGTTAGTTTCAATACTCCTTACTATTACTTTGGATGTGTACATTTTGTAAGTCATGAAAGTGACCACCTCCTTCCAAATATTAATGTAGCCTAGGGCAATTTTTGAAAAGGAAAATTCAAATGGCACTTCAATTTCTCGGGTTACAAAATCTCAGGAAATGCATATGACCCCAAGGGGAAGGACCAACTAGGTGTAGAAAGGTAAATTCTTGAGTTCTGGAAAGAGATATGATTGCAAGGACTTGATTTAGGACCAAAACTCTCCAGTTTGCTGCCTTGTCAAATTAAGTGGGAACTGGTTAGGTATCTACTCAAGCTGATCTATCTAGATGGAATGTGTTCTGAAGAGTTCAGTTTGGTAGACCTCACGCCAATTGAATGTCCTGCCTATGGACGGAATCCCCTTAGAGACTCTATACACATGGAACACCCAGGTGAAAAGCTGACTGTTGGCCATACAAAGGTATAATTTTCCAAGAATAATTTCTTTGTCTTCTGCTCTGGTCAGACTTCGTCTAGAGTGCTGTGTATAGTTCTGGGCTCCAGAGTTTAACAAAAGCAATTAAAAGATGGAGAGATACCAGAGGAGGACAAGTAAGATGGAGAAGGCTCCTGGCTCCATGCTTTCCGAGGACTGGTTTAAAGATATGGAGATGTTTAGCCTAGAGAAGAGAAGATTCAGGGGGGATGTGCTAGATGTCCTAAACCAACAATTGTAAGCTAATTATTAGACCATCGTGTGGAAGGGGTAGAATCATAGACACAGAGTTGCAAGGGACCCAAGAGGTCATGCGTCCAGCCAATTCATTTTATAAGGCAGCTAAATGATGCAATAGATAGAGTGATGGAGTTAGAATCAGGAAGACCTTAGTTCAAATCCTGCCTAGATGTGTGACTCCAGACAAATCACTTAAGCTCTCAGCCTCAGTTTCCTTATCTGCAAAACAAGGATGATAATAGTATCTACATCCCTGGATTGTTGTGAGAATAAAATGAGATGACAATAGCTATATAAATGCGAGACATCATTATTATTATTTTATGGATGAGGGAACTGAAGCATATAAGGATTAAGTGAGAGGTTACACAGTGTATTTTTTTAGGTAGGATTTGAAATTGGGCATTCCTGGCCTCAAGTTAAGAACTCTATCTATGAAGCCACCTAGTATATTAAACATGTTCTGTTTGGTCCAAAAGGGTTGAACCAGCATTAATTGATACAAGCTGCAAAAAAGTCCTTTATGACTGTGCTGAAATCTTTATGATTGTGCTGAAATACTGTTGTACTACAAGAAATGATGAGCAGGATGCTTTCAGAAAAACCTGGAAGGATTCATGTGAACTGATGCAAAGTGAAATGAGCAGAACCAGGAAAACACTGTACACAGTAACAGCAACATTGTACAATGATCAACTGTGAATGGCTTAGCTATACTCAGCAATACAATGATCCAAGGCAATTCCAAAAGACTTATGAGAAATTCCCTAGAGAAAAAAACTGATGGAGCCTAAAAGCAGATTGAAATATACTTTGTTTTTTACTTTATTTCTATTGGGGGGGTTTTTGGAGGGTGTCTGTGTTTTCTTTCACAACATGACTAATATAGAAAAAAAGTCAATACTTCCTAACATAACTGTCCAAAAGTAAGATGAAATGCCTTGGAAGCAGAGGGACCCTTCTCTTTAAAGGCTGGAAGACCCATGGTCAGGTGCGTTGTAATGGAAATTCCTTTCAAGTATGGATGGTCACTGATGTCCCTTCCGAAAATTCTGTGATTTTGTGGCCCTAACAAATGTGCTTTGGCTATACGGGCTCAGTCTTAGCTAGGGAAAGAAAAGTGGAACATGGAAGTTAGGGATGGACTATTTATTCATTCACTAAGCATTTTAATAGAGTTCTCCCAGACCACA